TACACGTTACTACCAATAAAGTACTTCAGAACATTAATATACACAACAGTTTAGTGCCACATACGTGCATATATTGTACACTTAGTTAGCACATACAGTATACACACATACATGGTATTCTCTTTACCCTCATCCCTCCCACCCCAACCTCAAATTTGACTGTTGAACTACAAAACCTCTACCACATGACCAAGAGTAAGCATGCAATTTCCTAGATAATTTTTACTGCTGCTTTTCCCCAGTTAAATGTGGCATGACATGCAAGATGCCTCCACACAGTGCATAAACTTTATCTGACAACAAATTAACTTCCCACTTTTTAAAAGAGAAAAATAGATAAAACATTTCTTTTAACTAAATAGTTGAAATTCAGTTAGAGTAACTCACATCCTATGGAAAGTTATCAGCCTTGACTAATGCAAGACTGCAAGGGCAGACAGTTGTACTGGAGAAACACCTAGGTGATAACTACAGTCTTTAAAACATCTAACTGATACTGTCTCAAGACAGCTGCTTGCCCTACTACTTTCTAGATATGCCCCTGCTCAAGTGTGGCAGGAATATCCCTTCTTGTGCAAATAAAAAACTAATCAAATGCCTGCTAAACATCCAATGTCACACTATGCAATTTTCAAATCATCAAGCATTTATTCATAACAAAGTCAGTTATTCTTTTATCCATTGTACTGTTACCTGACGCAGATTCCTGGTTACTTTCACATCATGCCAGGCATTGTCATTAAATTTCCCATTCACAGGTTCCACCAGCGCTTCAAAGGCCCCTGAGCCCAAATTAATGACCAAGGAGACAGCTCCATTTTTCAGTGCAAGATTGACATAATCAGCTGATTTTCCTGTGTGAAGCATCAGTCCATTCCTCTGAAGTGTTTTAAAGGACAGAGTTATTTCATCACTGCTACTCTGTATGGGATTCTGAGATAAATCATAGCAGAAGTATTCTGATCCCTTGAACGTCGCAATATATTCTTCTTTTCCTGATTAAAAAAAAAAAAAAAGGAGAGAAACAAACTAATAAATCACTAGCACACAATTAAAAGCAAGTTGCATAAATTATTTTCATAGCTAATTCAGCAGTACTATTGTAAGCACTGTATCAAAACCCAGTTAATTTAAAACACTTAAAAACCATGAAGAAAAAAAGATAACTAAGATTTACTGCGAACATATTTTAAACTATGTTCTTACAGAATTTTCATGGCTATGATTAAACTCAGAAAATATATTTCATCAGCAATCACGTTAATGTTATTTAAGCAACCTGATCTAGAACACATCTAAGTACATAACACTTAGGTGAATGTCCAAACCAAAGCATTATTCCAGTCAAAACCCAGATTTTTCATTCCAAACTCTCACTAAAATCATAGCATCTCAAAATCAATAACCTAGGTTTCTCAAAGTGATTTGGCCTAAGGTCTTGAATAAACCAAAACTACAAACCACTCATTTATAAATCCACCTCATTCAAACCTGCGCATAGCACCATGCTGGAGAGCAAGCTAACACGCATCAGTAAAAAAAAAATAGTTTTTTTCCAAGATGTACTTTTACTAGCCAGTATGCGCCACAGTTTATGTTCTTAGTTTATCCTTAGGTGACTAAGAAACACAAATAGCAGAAGCTAAGCCTTCAGTCTCATCAGAAAAGCAAGTATAACATAAATGGAGATTAAGTTTTCCCCTTGAGTCCTATAGGTGAACACATGCTGACCTTACACTACACGCATATAGGGTTTAGAGCTACATGAAGTCAGGATTTATTTGTTTCACTAATAATAAGTGCTAGTAAAATGTCAATGGAAACCTGCACATGCTGATGCAGTTTAAGGATGAAGGTATGAAAACCTGAGGATGACAAATTTCATCACTCTTGGGAGCAAACTCAGTCTCCAGAAAATAGCTGCACACATTAGTCTATGATACCACCAGCACAAAACCCAAACATACGCATAAATACATAGATGAGGGAAACAACATCAATGTGAATTTAAAAGAGACCAGTGAATGACAAAACGTGCAAAAAGCAGGTGCAAGAACACATTTTTTTGAAGTCCCTAGGCACATCTGTCTTCTGTTGTTCCAGGTCATCTACTTATGACCTCCTGCAGCAGCCTATACATGAACACTGACGCTCAATATTTGCAATGCTTCTCTTCAGGCAGTAGAGCACAGGAAGTTCAGGCAGTGTGGCAAAGTAACTTGAGACAGGACTCCAGACAGAAATTGCATTTTGGTTTAACTTAAAAATCATTGGTTTGTATCTATTTTGAAGTGCTATCACACAGATTTGATGTGGAATTCTTTGGATTACTTTTTTTTTTTTTTTATTTTTGAGGCAGCAGACAAACCATACTAGACAATTATATATATATATTAAAAAAAAATAGAACAAAAAGCGACTGTTTATCTAATGTGCTTTCTATACAGCCCAAAAGCAGGCTTCAGCAGTATCTTGTCCAAAAAGAAAGAAATAATTTTGTAACAAGATATCCACAGCTGGATTTCACAGCCTCAGCCTATTTTGTAAATACACACTTTAAAAAAAAATAAAAATCACCTCTCTGAACACCCTTAAGGATGCTTTTTCCCTGCTTTCTTTTGATACCACCTCTCACAAAACACAAAACCAAACAAAAATCCCCAGTCTCCAGTTTCAGATTAAGCAGTGTTCCTCTATTACAACAAGCAGTTGATCACACACAGATCCCTTCCTGTATTGGCCATTCATCATACACAATCAATAGGCAGTAGGAGTTAGGTATTATCATCGTGTACATCTTAACTAGACTTCTGTAGGCTTGTAATACATAGATAGCTGGTATGTCCATGGACAAAACCAATCATCTTTCTGGGTAGGAACTCATAAAACGATAGTCAAGCTTGTAAGTACAAGTGGTTGCGCAGGGAGAAAAGCTCCAACATAACTAGTATCTCACCATCCCAGTTTCAGGAGAAAAGAGCCTTGAGATTTTTTTTTTTTTTTAACATGAAATTCCATTCTGCACAAAAATTGCATTCTTAGAGGTGTTCTGACTAATGCTTACTATGGAGAAAAAAGCAGTTTAAAGTAAGTCTGGTATTTTATCACCAGACTACTTTTATCTGGCATAAATTTTTGACACTTAGGACAAATTTTACCCTTCGTTGAACTTGACAGGTAAAAGCTAGATCCCATGTGCAAGACTGAGGTCAAAAATTAGCCTATTTAATCTGTCCAAAAGTCTTTATTTTTTACCTTTGACATTATCAATAGAGAAGCATCCTGCTTAAAACCCTTCCTAGTCTATCAGGAACAGTAGGTCAAGAGACACTGCAGCTTGCGCTAAGGACACACAGGAATTGCTCTGCCCATTCTCCATCTCTTACACCTTCCAAATCAGTCCTGCGTGCAGAACAACACTATGCTGATAGCAACGCGTCCTGGACCCTGATATGTTTCACAGAGGGAGAAAATCTTGGCTTGATCTGCATTAAGAATTTACAAACAATGCATTTTCTGGGGTTTCAATGGACTAAGCAGCAAATTACATGAATACCATGCATCTCATTTAACAACTATTTACTGTATAAAATGCACAAGAGTGTATTTATTTCACAGAATTACAGAATGGAAGGGACCCCTGGAGATCATCTAGTCCAATCTCGCTGCTCAAGCAGGTTCACCTAGAGCAGGTTGCCCAGGACTGTGTCCAGGTGGGTTCTCAATATCTCCAGAGAAGGAGACTCCGCAACAAAAAAAAAAAAGTTTTCCTTCTTCACAGAATGTTAGGGGTTGGAAGGGACCTCTGGAGATCATCTAGTCCAACGCCCCCTGCCAGAGCAGGACCACCTAGAGCAGGTCACACAGGAACATATCCAGGCAGGTTTTGAATGTCTCCAGAGAAGGAAACTCCACAACCTCTCTGGGCAGCCTGTTCCAGTTTCATGTTCAGGTGGAACTTCCTGTGCTCCAGTTTATGCCCATTGTCTCTTGTCCTATCACTGGGCACCACTGAAAGAGCCTGGATGGTGTTGGATATTTTTTGGATGGTGGTAAACCAAATTTAAAACAATTTCCTGCCCTAGCCTTTTCCCCAGGCTCAATTTCATTCCTATCACTCCTTCATTTCCAACTTCTTTACCTCTCCCCACCCTGCCTTGAGCAGAACAGAGGGGCAGCAGTTGCAGGCAGTCCACAACAGCTGTTCCCTGAGGCTCCTTCCTCCTCATGCTTTTCCCCTGGTAATCAGCATGCATCCTTCCCATGGTTGCAGTCCTTTCAGGATGAGCCTGCTCCTCTGTGGGCTCTCCACAGGCCAGACATCCTTCAGGAAATCTCCCTTCAGTGTGGGGTCCTCCATGGGCTGCAGTGTGAATACCTACTCCCCATGATCACTTCTGCACAGCTGCAGGGGAATCTCTGCGCTGGCACCTGCAGCACCTGTTCCTCCTCTCATTTTGATGCTCACAGGTCTGTTCCGTACACTTTTTTCCTCACTCCTTACTGCTTTTTTACCTTTTCTTAGCCACGCTTTCCCAGAGATGCTCCACTCACGGCTGAGGGGCTCAGCTGTTCCCTGTGGTGGGTCTGTTGGAACTGGCTGTGCCCAGCACAGGAGCCGCTCCTCCAGCCCCCTAGCTCCAAACACCTTGCCACAGACATCCAGGATAAAGGCTAACATTTCTATGTCTATCACTCCATAACTGTAAGTAGTCAAGACTGAAACTTAGTGACTTAATTGCGTTTTCCTTGAGGGGGAAAAATAAAAGGCTAAATCAGCAACTCTACACCTCTTCATGGGAAAACAAAACAAAACAAAATAAAACCCCAAACCCGTGAAACCGAACAAAACACAAAAATAAATACCAAGCAATCAGCTTGAGTTGTCGTTGGAAAGAGAAGTCAGCATCACTGTGACTGGAAAACATCTATTTCATATGCATCTCATTGGATGGCCCTTTGGGCAAACCATCAACAGCAAAACAAACTCTTCTGCATCC